ACCGGTGGCCTTGTATTTCAATACACTTACTTGTGTGCCTTCAATCTACACTACATTATTTCCCCAGGAAGTCTGGGGTGGCGTTGCTACAACCTCTAAAATCTTTTATTATTAGTATTTCTCCGATCTGTTAACCCCTCGGTTGCCACATCTTGGCGTTGCTGGCAGGATTATTGAAAAAAAGAGAAAAAACAAGGCCCGGTTTCCATTTAAGTTGTGAAAGATGCAATGAATTTCATTGAAGTTATGTGGTGTAATTAACGTTTTTTCACTACCAAAGCTAAATCAACTGGTCCTGTGTTGTGCCAATTCAATGCATGTTTATTTGTGTATTTTGCTGTTTTATTTCTGCATGTAGTGTTGTGCTTTAACCATTTGTTTTCTATTGCTGTGTACATATATATGGAATTTGGTTCTCACACTAGCTGGCTTGATATTGCTATTGAAGTGTAAATCTAAAACTAAACTACTATACTGTTACATCTGAATTCATTGTACTGTATCTTGACACTTTACAAGGGGAATTGCTTTCAGTTTTAAGGCAGAGCAGCAGTGTCGGCAACGTGTAGGTTTTTATAATATACTGCGTTTTTCTGTGTTCTTTTTTTCCCCCACGTGTTTTCCAATGGCAGCAGAGTTCAGAACCTCAAAGATCAGGTGGCCCAGTTAACCGCTGAGAATGAGAGGCTGCGTTCGGACCAGGCTGCCCCTGGTACCTCCAGGGCAGAGTCCTCTGCCATGCCTGCAGCTGCCTCCATCACAGAGCGGCTTATGTATATACCCCGGGACAGGAAATGTCCTATGTTCAGGGGCCATACAGGCATCAGTTTGAGTGAATGGGTCGAGGAGGTCGAAGCATGCATGAGAGCGCGTCACCTGTCCCGTGCAGACCAAGCTTATTTCATGTATGACCACTTGGAGGGAGAAGCTCGACATGAAATTAAGTACCGATCCAGCGCAGAGCGAAAAGACCCAGATAAATTGATCTCCATTTTGCAAGATCTATACGGATGCTCTGACTCCTATGTAGCTTTGCAGGAGTCGTTCTTCTCTCGTAAGCAACAGGAGGGGGAGACCCTGCAAGAGTTCTCCCTCGCTTTGTTGAGCTTAATGCATAAAGTGAAAGCGCGTGCTCCAAACGATATGCCCAATTCTGAGGCATTGTTGCGCGATCAATTTATCGAGCATGTGCTGGACGGTGCCTTGCGTCGTGTGCTTAAACAACACGTCCGCCAAAACCCAACAGCAACCTTGCTTGTGGTCAGAGAGGAAGCAATGAGATGGGAGCGTGAGGGTCTTCCAGCCAGCGCCCGGGGTTGGAGTAATTCGATGCCTTCAGCATATGGTCTCCAAAACACTGTGCGCGGTGTACCACCAACCCCTACCTACCCCTCGCAGTCTGAGGTAAGTGAAATGAAGGAGCTCCTGAAAAGGCAGCAAGAACAGCTTGATTTGCTTACTTGGAGCATCGCCCTCCTGCAGGCTGAGTCCTCACGTAGTCACTCCCCCCGTCGTCAAGCGCCTGTCATTTGTAACCGGTGCCACCGACCTGGACATACAGCCAGGAATTGCCGTGGATCACGTGGTTCCACTCACTCCCGTTCAGAACAGCAGTCGGAAAACTAGCACCCACCAGGCTGCAGAGCCACAGCTCGGGTGGGGTTCCTACTGGCTCAGGAAACGTTCCTGGTCGTTCCGTCGCTGTTCCAAAACTTATTGCTTCTTGCCCCCATATTAACGTGAACATGGCTGGCGTTATAGTACCATGCTTGCTCGACACCGGATCCATGGTATCAACCATCACAGAGGGTTTCTTCCGGGAGCATTTTGAGTCTCTGGGCAAAGACCGTCTTCAGGCGTGTCATTGGCTTCAGCTCAGAGCTGCCAATGGTTTAGCCATTCCCTATCTAGGCTATTTGGAACTAGACGTTAAGCTTTGTGGAAAGTTAATGCCTAGGTGTGGTGTACTGGTGGTGAGGGATCCTCCCAGCATGCCTGTGCAGGTTCCTGGTGTGCTTGGTATGAATGTCATCCAGAGGTGCTACAAAGAGCTATTTGGACAATACGGGTCTGCTTTATTTGACACAGCCCCCGTAGTTTTGTCTCCTGACCCTTTGGTCGATGCACTTCAGAAGTGTCATTTGGCTCATCAGAGGCCACCTCCAGCACAACCAGGTAGAGTCAGGGTGCGGAGAAGGCAAGCTTGCCGCATTCCTGCTGGTGTGATGAAGATAGTGCCAACTACATGTTCAGAGCTGTACAGTGATAAATCAGCGCTTTTCGAACCCTCAGAGTCTGGTTTACCTGCTGGACTGCTGGCTTCTCCAGCATTGGTTCGGGTAGCTTTTGGGACCGCCTATGTCCCAGTCATCAATGTTGGGACTACCGATGTCCTGCTGCATCCTCGCACCGTTGTAGGTACACTGGCCCTAGTTAATGTGGTGAGCTTGCCTGCGGGTGTGACGGAGGTGCCAGCTGCAGCCGCGTCCGTCTCATCGCAGACGGCCACCACCTCTGTGTCAGATGTTTTTGAAGGACTAGATCTGTCTCTTCTGTCCAGGGAGGAGCAGGACCAGGTGCGATCTCTCTTAAGGAGGTATACGTCAGTGTTTGCTGCCCATGACCAGGACTTGGGATGCACCAACTTGGTCACCCATGACATCCCTCTCACGGATGAGGTGCCAGTCCGGCAGCGGTATCGGCGAATACCTCCATCAGAGTATGAGCTCGTTAAAGAGCACATCCATCAGCTCTTGGAGGCACAGGTGATTACGGAGAGTTCCAGTCCCTACGCCTCCCCCATAGTTCTCGTCCGGAAAAAGGACGGAAGCCTCAGACTGTGTGTTGACTACCGTCAACTGAACAGCAAGACCCGAAAGGATGCGTTTCCACTACCCCGCATCGAGGAGTCTCTGGACGCTTTGACAGGTGCTCGCTGGTTTTCCACCTTGGATTTAGCCAGCGGGTACAACCAGGTACCTGTCACCGAAAGCGATCAGCACAAAACTGCGTTCTGCACGCCATTTGGGTTGTTTGAGTGGAAACGCATGCCTTTCGGGCTCTGCAATGCCCCCAGCACCTTCCAACGTCTGATGCAACGCATCTTTGGGGACCAACAGTGCCAGTCTCTCCTTTTGTACCTGGACGACATTGTGGTCTACTCGTCCAGTGTCCAGCAGCATCTGGAGAGGCTGGCTGTGGTGCTGGGTCGGCTGCAGAAGGAAGGTCTGAAGGCGAAGCTGAGTAAGTGCAGCTTCTTCCAGACAGAGGTGAAGTACCTTGGGCACGTCATCTCTGATCGAGGAGTAGCCACTGACCCTAGCAAAATTGACGTAGTAGCTGATTGGCCCACTCCAACCACGGCCACGGAGCTGCGATCGTTTTTAGGTTTCGCAAGCTACTACCGTCGATTTGTGGAGGGATTTGCAAAGTTGGCTGCTCCTTTGCACCACAGGGTGGCAGCGCTCACTGGTAAGCCCTCCATAAAGAGAACTGCCCCAATCACTGAGGCAGACTGGACTGAGGAGTGCCAACGAAGCTTCGAAGCCCTTAAGGCCAAGCTCACCTCAGCTCCGGTTTTGGCATATGCAGACTTCTCTCGTCCCTTCATCTTAGAGATTGATGCAAGCCACGGTGGGTTGGGCGCTGTGCTTTCACAGGAGCACGAAGGTAAAGTGAGGCCGATAGCATATGCTAGTCGCGGGTTAAGACCGACTGAGCGGAACATGTCAAATTACAGTTCCATGAAGTTGGAGCTGTTGGGTCTCAAGTGGGCCCTTACAGAAAAATTCAGGGAGTACCTGTTGGGGCACAAGTGTGTCGTCTACACAGACAATAACCCATTGAGCCACCTACTGTCTGCGAAGCTAGGGACCGTAGAACAGCGTTGGGCCGCTCAGTTGGCCTCCTTCGACTTTGAGCTTAAGTATCGGTCAGGGAGAAGCAACACAAACGCTGATGCTCTTTCTCGGCAGCCCTGGTCATCGCAGACACTGGAACCACTGGTGCCAGGTACTCTTCTGCCTTTTCCTCTTCAGCAAGCCCTGCAGGGTCAGCAGGAGCAGGCGTTACAGTCCATGGTAGTGGTCTTCCCGCACTGCGCTCCTGCTGACCTTCCTACTCTCCAACAGGAGGACTCGGCCATCCAGGAAGTCATGGCATTCTGGCGGCAGAAACGACGGCCCACTCCAGATGAGCGAAAGGGCTTTTCTCAATCTGCCCTCACCCTTCTCGGACAGTGGGACCGTTTAGTGGAACTGGACGGGCTTCTGTACCGACAGGTATTTCGTTCGGATGGTGGTGGTGCCGTACACCAGGTTCTGCTGCCCAAGGCTTTGGTCCAGGATGTCCTAAAGCAGGTGCACCAAGAACATGGCCACCAGGGAGTGGACAGGACCCTGGCCTTGCTGCAAACTCGCTGCGCTACTGGCCTGGGATGTCCCGAGAGGTAGCTCGGTGGTGCCAGGCCTGTGAGCGGTGCCAGTTCGCTAAGAACAACCAACCCGCCCCGTCACAGCTACTTGGGGCACCTGTTGGGCCTCTCGGCCAAATGAAATCGTTGCCATCGATTTCACCGTATTAGAGCCTACCCCCAACTGGCTTGGAAAATGTCCTGGTGATGACCGAATGTTTTTAGGTAATATACCTTGGCCATTCCCACCAGAGATCAACGGGCCTCCCACAGTGGCCCAGGTTCTGGTTGCTGAGTGGTTCATGAAGCTGGGCGTCCCCGCTCGCATCCACTCGGACCAGGGCCGTAACTTTGAAAGTGCTTTAATCCAACAGCTGTGCAGTCTGTATGGGGTCATAAAGTCTCGCACATACGCCCTATCATCCAGCTGGTAACGGGCAGTGCGAGCGCTTTAACAGGACCCTTCACAATCTGCTGCGTGCCTTGCCACCCTCGCGCAAACGAGACTGGAGTTCTTGCTTGCCGGAGGTCCTGTTTGCATATAACACCACCCCTCACCAGTCAGACAGGGGAATCCCCTTATTTCCTGATGTTCGGGCAGGAACCTCGGCTACCTGTTGACTTCTTTCTGGGTCAGGTGAGGGAACCGGTGGCAGGGAGCGTTTAGGTGAATGGGTTCACGAACACAAAGCACGACTAGAGGCAGCTTTCGAAGGGGCCCGGGAGCGCTTAAAAGGGCTTCAGCCCATCGTCGTAAGAACAACTACGATAGACATGTGCGAGATGCACCCCTTATAGAGGGTCAGCTTGTGCTTCTGCGCAACTGTGCTTTCCGTGGTCGGCAGAAGACTCAGGACCTGTGGAATTCGGTCACCTATCAGGTTATGCAGGTACCGAAGGAACAAGGTTCCGTATACACTGTGGCGCCAGTCGATGACCCCAGTAAGATTAAGCGGGTACATCGCTCTTTGCTTAAAGCCCTTTGTCACCTTTGACACATCTGACGCTGCTGTCGTAGTCCAGCTGGTGGTTCTGGGGAACCGCCTCCATTAAGTGACAACCCTCTCTTGAGGTCCTTATAGATGGTGACCTTTTTTAAACTCACCTACTCTGGAAACTCCGCCCTCTTTCCCGAGTCGACCATGCTGTGTCCGGATTACTAAACCGCGGCCTTACAGCCGCCGCACCCAGTTCCGGCAGGTGTGGGACTTTTTCATACCCCTCAGGTTTTCCCCTTCTGGGTGCCCAATGTTCAACGAAGGCCTGTGGCCACGACTGTCGCCCCGGCCAGGAGAAGCCTCGTAGATCCACTCGCCTCCACCAGGCGGCAGTGGCCAACCCTGCATACTCCCCAAGGTCATCACACCTTCCCTTTCCCGGCCAGGGAGAGGATGCCTGCATCCTCTTCTTCTACGAGCGCCGTAAGCAACACTTCTTTCAGGCCATGGAACTAGGATTGAAGTAGATCCATCGTCGGGGCGACGATGCAAAACTGGGGGGGTAAAATGTGGTAAAGACGGGGCTTTGGCGACCAGTGCTGGGGTGCGTCTTACCTGCCGCTTCCGGGGCGCTGTCCCGGTTGGGCATAAAAGCGCTCACATCCCCTAATCGCAGCTGTAAGTTCCTCTTTGCCCACCACTCTTCCGGGACCTTGGTGGTGGCCGCCTGTTCACCAGCTCCAGGAAAGTCCCCGCTTTAATGTCCATTCACGCAATATCCCTCCTAAATATTCTGTCACTTAGGAGTCGCTTCACTTCCATTAGGTCCACTGTCCTGATCACTAACTGCAAAATACAGAATTTCCTCTCGCTGCCTCTGCACCACTCTGTGGCGCGCAAGTCCGAGCACTGTGTTACAGGTAAGATCGCCTTGGCCCATTCTCTCCTCTGTGCCTATTATGTGTACATTATAAATAGCAATTAAAGTGGCGTCTGGATTCCAGCCACGCTGCAGGACTGGCCGTCGCCATCAGGCAGCCTGCTCCATGCGCCATCCCTTGGCCTTTCAAGCCGGGCACCGTGCGCAGTTGCTCACCTCAGCGGTATGTCTCTCTTCCATTTTTGTAGTTCCCCACTTTTTCATTTAGGATTTGGTTTAGTTTAGTAATCTTCCAAAATTAATATTTTTCTAGGTGTCCTCAGAGGTCTGCAGTGGCACTGACACGTTGCCTCCTGCTGTTTTGCCTCCTGCTGTTTTGCCACTGATGTTTTGCTCCTGTGTTTTGTCTACTGCTGATTTTGTGTCGGCCTAAAGTGCTGTTTTACGGTTGCCTGTTTTGTGTCCCACTTTGCCTGCTCCTCCCCGTCTGGTCTAGGTCCCTTCGCGCGCTGCGCACACTCTTGTGTGGTGTGTCCCTTCAGGGTGGGGGGGGGGGGTGTGTGGGGGGGTGGGGGGGGGTTTTTTGTTTTGGGGGGGGGGGGGGGGGGGGGGGGGGGGGGGGGGGGGGGGGTGGGGGGGGGTGTGGGGGGGGGGGGGGGGGGGGGTGGGGGAAACTACTGGGCGTAGCAGAGACGCGGACCCGTGCGCACACTCTTTGCCCTTGTGGCCTTCATTCTACACTAAAATATTTCCCGCAGAAGTCTGGGGTGGCGTTGCTACAACCGCTAAAATCTTTTATTTATTATTTCTCGCGATCTGTTAAACCCCCCTCCGGGTTGCCAAATACAGGATGAACCTTTATAAAAGCAACCTTCCCCAGGCTTCACGAGGGCTTCCGCATAGCCCTGCACATGCACATTACAATTTTTTAGGAGATAAAGTCGGAAGCATGTCCAGAAGGAGTGGGCTCAGGAAAACAAACAGCCAGGGAGAGGTCCAGATTAAGGCATACAATCATACTAGGAAACAGGGAGCACAATGGTTGTTGAGAACAGTGGCTTAGTTGAAAAAGTGTTTAAGGTGAATAAACACTTCCACATGTCCACATTGTTTAGTTAAATCCAGACTATGAAGTTAAGCTTTTGGGTCCTAATCCCCTCTAGAACTCCCAGACGTCCTCCAGTCAACCTCCTGAGCACGTCTTAAGCGCGTCGGTCGGGTTGAATTACGTGACCTTTTTTATTTACGTCCAAGGTACGACGTCGGTTGCAGAAGGTGCGCATCCTGATCGTAAAACTATACCGCCCCTTATTTCGGTGGATATGACGGGCAATCCCGACAGCTCCCCTAGAACGTCGAAAACCAGGCAGATTCGGCCGACCGTCGCATAAAGTCTGGATCTAGCTAATTACAATAGATAGGACGGTGAAGCTGGGAAGGTGGATCTGACGTTGTGGAGTGGTGTAGGCAAATGTTGCAGCCTGTGGTGCGGGGGGTTCGAGCCCATCGTGTGTGTTATTTTATGTATCGTTTTTTATTTTTACTACTTGTACATATTTGGGTTTGATGTTGTACGAACAATCTTTTTTTCTGGTTTTGGTTAAATGACAAGATAACACGCAACATAAGGAGGTATCGTAGTGGCTAATAATATATACGTTGATGGGGATGCATTTGTTGTGCTATCAATCTTCAAGTGGCTTAAGATGGGGTATGCTCGTGAGATGTTGTATAAGTATCTCATGCATGGGTTCACAAGGGGTTATGAATGACCACGACATAAGCTGAGTTGAGTGTTTATTCGTGTTTAAACCATAAACAGTAAAATGTTTACGCTAAAAAGGTAAAGAGTCAAAAGGTTTGTCTCCCACCCTCGACGGGATTTGGAACCCCGAGTCGTTGCGACTGTAGTACTCATGTACGCAACCGCTACTTTCCACGGCCTGGAATATTTCCTGACTAAATGTGAAAACCATAATTCATAACACCCTAAAATTAACCGACGCATTAACTATGATACATATGCGCCGACATCGCTTACAGCCGGTGACTCGTGAGGCGGTTGGTCGAGGAGCCGTGGTTTCCCCCCACTCTACAACGACGTTAGGTGTGCATATGGTCGTAAAGCAAGTGCCTTCCCAACGGTTGATTATGATCGTTGAAATCGGTACCTCTGGTTCTGTCGCTGCCCTGCTTTATTTTATCTTGGATATCTCCCTCGTCCACGACGAATACAACAGTCTGCCAGTTTTTTTAGAATAGTTGTATTCCATTCCACATTGAAAATAGTATGTTGAGACAGAAAGTAAGTGGGGTCAATCGTTTTCCTTGATTGTTTGGTTAAGTTTTGGTTGTATGTGTTCTGATTTTGATTTGGCCTAGGTGCTGTATTTCTAGTTAAGAACAGGCGGGCATTCTGCTCACGGATAGGAAAACCAAACCTTTTTTTTTAGTTTTTAAGTTTAAGTTTAAAAGTATGATATTTGTTGTCATATTGCAAACTATTTTTTATATACACTTAGATTTTATTAGGTTGACTGTGTCCTCAAACGTAGGTGTTAATAAAATGGTTAGTGTTCTTGAGGTTGTAATTGCTTAATTCATGTTCGTAATTGTATAGTTTAATGGTATATTTCCACAAGGTTTATAAATCGTACTGCAATAGAACAATCAGTACTGTAGTAATCTTAGTATAAAAACAGGGGAGATCATCTTTAATATTGGGACACCTTCCACTCCCATCATTTAGACACCTTGAGTCATCAGTTGGAGGTTGATTCGAGGTGTGGGACCATGGGGACAATGTGGACCATAGGAACACACAGATGTTTACCTGCTGCTGAAAGAGAGGTTATATGTTCTATTTTGGAGTATGCTTTGGTTATTATAATGATTTATATGTCTTACCCAGTCCGTCATTGTCTGATGACTTCACTTCTTCTCACTGTGCTGTTTAAATGAGCCACTCAGTTTGTTATTTTTGTTATTGTGTATAGCTGCAAATATTAAATATTCCATTCATGCTAGCGTAGCAAGGCTACTAAGAGCGGCTTGCAACTGCCGTATTCAATTTCTTTAACTTTTTCTTATAAAACTTGAAAAGCAGCACCATAATGGTTTAATTATAATTCATACCTTTGCTAATATGCAGGGTCTAATTATTGTGAAAATTTCCATAGTGTATAATTTCCTTGATTGTTGCAATAACTAATGTTTCTGTTGTTTTCCTATGTGTCATGTGTGGTGTCAGTCTACAGGGGTCCCAGACTGTGGTGAAGGAGTTCATTAGGTAAAATCACACTCTCGCTCAAACCACCTTGATTGTTCTTGACTGTATTAATTATGTTGTTTGTTGTAGAATAAAACCATTAGTTGTGTATTCCTCTTTGAAAAAACATCATCTTTTTTTCTTCTCTCAGATTGGTTCAGCAACTCTCGTCTAGATGAGGTAAAGAGCAACAAGGGAAAAGGCCTTGCCCCACCCCCCCTCGGAAGTGCAACAATGTGTAGAGGTAATACAGGGTAAGTACGTTCCAGGGCCTCATTTGTTCCATGTGCAAAACTAATGCACATTTGCATTTTGTTATTTTTGGGTGGGGGGGGGGAGGGCCGGAGGTGGGAATGGGTTAGGGGGGGGGCTGGGGGGGGGGGGGGGGCTGGCAATAACAAGAGCCTTATTCACAAGTTGTCTGCAAGACGGATGTCTTCCCCATCCAGTGTCTCGAGCGAGTGCAGGGCCAAGTTTTTATTACATGGTGATGGGAAACGTGTGGGTTGGGCATTAATAAAATGGGTTGGTATATAACGGTTGGGCCACTTTTTAGTAAAAAAACAGGGTCCATCAGTTTTGTAAGGGTGCTGTGCTTGGACCTTGTGATGAGAGACTGATACCATGAAGGACACAGGTTGAGATCCTCAACATTCCAATAAATGCATTCTTCTTCTGCTTTCAAGTGTGGTGTTTATTCTTTTGGGAAACCTAGAGTGTAGCTTGTGCTGTTGTAAATACTGATCCAATACATAGGCGCTACAAATCATGTTTTTTGTGACTTTGCATGAACTGTCAGTACAGTAGTGTTCATATAACACTGTGCCCTGTATGGTTTAACTGGTACTTTGATGGTAGAGAAACCTGATTTTTTTAAATGCAGCGCCATTTTGCAATAAGGACTGATATACTTCTACTTACAGTTGTTCTGAGATGATTTTTGTAATGCTGTGGGTAGTCGTTTTATTTGCCCAGGAGTCAGAACTAAAGCATGATAAAGCGCATTTCAGATTCACCAATGGCTGCAAATCTGGAAACGTCTTTCCTGGAAATGTAGACCACGGCTTCTTCTTTGTACAATGAGTAAAATCCAGGTTTGAAAACACTTCTGTTTCGTCTCTGCTATCATAAAACTGAGAATTTTTATGAGAGTTTTTATTTGGTATCTTTTTAATTTACTGTGTCAATATTTAGAATTGTAATGCCCTTGTTTGTTGTTTGCTATCTTTTTGTTCATATGCTTTGAGTTTCCTTTTTTGTTTTGACTGTGCTATACAAATAAACTCTTGCGCTTTTGTGCCTTGCCTTTGTGGCAAAAAGGTTGTCCGACCCTGGGGAGTGTATGCTGCAGAGGTTTAAGTTTGGTCAATTGGTCTGGTAATAAAATGGACGTCATAATAAACGTCAATATTTTGTGGTCATATATGACGTCGAGAGGAACGTCGGACCCGACGTCCGGTTCTGTCCAAATTGCAAACCGTGAAAACGTCCAGGATGTCGTTGATATGACATATGTTGACTTCGCTTGCTTAGTGGGATACATCGTAAACGTTCGTATTTGAGCATTATTTTGGTCAATTGAGCGTTGATAGGGACGTCAGTCCCGACCCGGGATTCCCGGGAACCGTACATTATTGGCAATCCTTTATGAACGGACCAGAAATGACTGGATATGACATAGTTTTGACAGCTGCTTGCTTTAGTGGAACGACTGGAAACTGACGTCATATAAACGGCTATAGTTTGGGTCATGTGAGAATCGTTGATGAGGACGTCAGACCGCAGGAAGCCGGGGGGTTTTCCGTACCACTTTATAACCTTAATTTTAACCAGTGCCACAAACGCGAACATTAGGAGGTTAGGGGACGTCGGTTACGTCGTCGAGAAAACTTTCGATTCTGGTCCTGCCACTCCCACCAGTGACCTATATTCTGACGTCGGTCAACACGTTCAATGTAAGTTGATTCAACACAGCGGCTTGCTTTATGGGATGTTTCAATGAGCAATGCAAACGATTATATTGGGCACTGTATACAAAAAAACATGGGGTTAAGGCAAAGGACAAGTTATTTATGATCTAATTTGACTTCTCATCATCGGAGTGGCTCAGGCCACAGGTTACCAGACTCCCGTAGCCCTTGGTAAACTGTAAGCTCAAACAATCTGAGTGTCAAGGAAGTAGATGTTATCGGGTTGTACCACCTGATTTGGGTCGAAACATATCTCTGGACGTAGGGCTGATTTTGACAGCACAGCCAGTTGAGGTTTGCTCAAACCCGGTGCAGGACCCCCCTTGGAGACCGCAGTTACTCCCCTGAATACCAGAGGCCCGGAGCTGGGAATTGAAAAAGAAACAATTCGTCGAGGCCGTTGTGGAGGGCTGGGAGTCCTGGTGAAGAGGCCTAAAACCCGGCAGGTT